CTAACAGTGAAGGCCTCTGTAATAAACAGAATATAATTTTTGTGAAGTGCAATAACTAATCAAACAAACACAAATGCCAATATTTGTAGCTGAGTACATCAAATGCTAAAATAAAAAGACAACGTATAGCTGTATAACCTTTCAAAAATCTACCTCTACAGCGCCTCCCTTTTGTAAACAACTGTTCCAGCCCCCATGGCGAGAAACTCCACATGACTTTCATGAAGAACAAAATCACTCCAACAAAATGGTTTTGCTGCTGGAATAGAGGTTAAAATTTTTAAAAATCCAGCACAAATGTGGGAAAACTGAATGATTATATTCACCATTAACTTCATTCATTTCACCTTTGTCACAACATCTTTGATTTTATTACCAAACCAAATCTTATCTAACATCACTCTTTATCTTTTCAATGACATCCTTTCACTTGTTTTTTTTTCCACTTTGTGTTTCCCTATCACTCCCCTCCTTCTCACCCGTCTCTTCACTCACCCGTCCTCTCACATAGCCTTTCCCGTCAAGGACACAAGCTTCTCAGAGAGACAGAGAGAGAAAGAGAGAGAGAGAGAGAGAGAATTCTCGAGTACAGCCGTCTCCTCCTGTCTTCCCTCCCTCTCCGCCTCGCTCCCTTCATCTTTGTTCACAGAGATATCGGAGCGCCCGTTCCCTCCATCCCTGTCAGGCCTGGACAGCACTGGGCACCAGCAGGTAGACTCGCAAAATATAAATGTATGAATAAAGAAGAAACGCCAACAACCGTGTGCACTCAGACACTCAGCGTGGCCGACAATCTGTTTGGCCATCTGTCTGCCACTCACGTTGACATAGTAGCTGTCTGAACCTGAGGACACTGTGCTGTGTGTCTACGCAGGTGTGTCTCCACCGGGGGGTTGGTCCCATATAACAACTGATGCAAACCGAGAGATGAACGTCCACTCCTGTTTTGACGGAGTAATTATGCACTTCACTTTAATGTACGACCCTAATTGTAAGTGGAGCACAGACTGGGTTTGAGCCAGTGCTGCGCAACATTATCAGGAAGTACAATTCTAGAAAAATGAAGAAAGGCAGGTGAGCCAAAGAGCTTGATCCCTGCTGCTAAATAAGTAGAGGTGAGGTGGGAGGAACATAAGGGGGGAGTAAGGAAAGAAAGAGTAAAAAAAATGAAGGTAATAATATGAAAGGAACCTCAGTCAGTCAGCAGTCGTCAAGTAGTATTAAAGTTAATTCGTAACATTAATCAGCTTAAAAATGTAATACAAATCATTTATAATTAAGAAACAGAACAACGTTTACTGTATATCCAATAATTCAAGCTCTGTTCATTTACTGTTTCTCTAACACAGGGTGTTAACAACTCAAAGTTTGGTGAACGGCCACTAGGGGCATGGTAGATGATGATAATTCAACATGTATGCTCCTTGCTACTTTGGTTCTGGTTTCACAGTCACACAAACAATTCCACTTGTTAATAAGACCAGACAGTGCCTGGCTCGTGAGCACTGCTGTGGTGAGAGCTGTGGAAAAATGCGGAACGGACACACTGACCTGGCGAAGTCGAGGTCGGCCTCTCTTGACATGGTGATGTTGGTGAGGTTCTGCTGCAGAACAAAGATGTTCCTGCACATCTTCTTGATGCCCGACTCACTGATTCTCTTAAAGTACTGAGCACCGTTGATGAGGATACAGGAGATCAGGTGACCCAGACCTGGAAGAGAGAAGAAGACCTTAACACGGACACACCGCTACGATACTCACACCCGTATCTGGACCTATAACTGACCTGTAACTGTTAACATCTCACCTCACCTTTTTGTTGTGTGTTCATTTGTTTGATCGTAACATTGAAATTGAGCTCGTTAGTTTGAGTGATTGTGTTTACTAGTAAGCAGGAATCTGCATTTAGCTTCATTTTTCCAATTGACACAAGCCAATGGTGCAAAAGCTCTGCTCACTTTCTGTTCAGTTGGCTGTGTTAACTAAGCAGAAAGTTAACCTAATGTACCTTAATTAAAAGAACATCTTTAGTGTTAATGACATAATGTCTACCTATATATAGATACTGGTTTTCAATATTGGTTTTGGGACAACACTGAGAATTAACATGTTCCTGAGGAGTTTTAACTTTAAAACTCTGTGACAAAAATCAAGCCGTTTTTCAAGGGCCCATTTTCAGCGGGGGTTGGCACTGACCTTCAAATATGTACTGGAACTTATGCTGCTGCAGCGCTGCACCCATGGCCTCCTCTATGGCTGAGATGTCCTTGTTCAGTTTGACCACCAGAGGGTCGTAGTCCATGCTCTCCACATTGGCAACAATGGCGTAGTTCCCCTCCTTGGTGAGAGGGATGAGGTAATGGAAACAATGGACTCTGGAAGGAAACAAGTCAGAAAATGGAGAAGAACGTGATCAAGACAAGGCTTTTTTGGCATTTTTAAAAACTATTTTTTGTTGTTTTTCTCATGTGTCACTGATCATTTACACAACAGAACTACATAGGAAAAATAAGACAAAGTGAAGTGAAAAACCCTAGAAAATGAAGTTAGTAAAGTGTGTCATTTTTCACCTTGTAAGTTGTATTTTGAAAACCCTAGAAAATGAAGTTAGTATCATTTTTCACCTTGTAAGTTGTATTTTACCTGAGCTTCCTCACTGCTGATCATTACACACTGCGAGACATGTAATTTCTACACAAATGGTCTGTTTAGAGCACTTACATCCTCTCATGTTGCCCCCAAGCATCACGCCTGGATGCCATGCAGAAAGGAAACCTGATTAGCTGAGGACAACCTGTGACCACGGGGCTAAATGTAGAGTACTATGATGAGGAGGAAATAAAAGAACTTCAAACGTTTGAAGACTTTACCACGTACGTATGATTATGATATATATATATATCATATATCATACATATACGTATGACTAGAAAAATATCAGGCCAAGTATTAGCAGCCCGTGGTTCATTCTGTCAGAACAAACTGCAATAGCATTTTGGAGCAATTTTCAACAATGCATTATTTGATCCCGTATTTTGAGAAATTCTAGTGTTAGCAGCAGATATGCTGTTAACAGGCTGCCCCCAGCAAGCGCAAAGCATGTGGTTACTCTGGGAATCGAACCCAGGACTCTCTGCTCTCTGCTTCTGAGGCAGGATTGGCTAACGGCTACACTATGTAACCGCGTTATAAAAAAAGTAGGATACGATCATTATGAGATCATTTGGCGACTGTAACTTCAATCAAATGAAAGCTAGGATTGGTAAATATTCAGCTGTCAACCAAACATTTAAGGAATGCAAACACTAATAATTGCCATTGACCGTTCAGCATCAAGGGTAAAAATGTTAAGAACTGTCTATTGGTCTGTTCAGCTACTGTGCAACTTTAAAGCAAAGGTGTACAGTTCCACATTCTTCCTGATCATTAAACATCTTCATCTCACCCTCTGGTCCTCCAGGCCCACAGAAGTCTCATTTCTGTCAAGGACTTTAGGAGTCAATATTCTCTTAAGTCCATGATCACGACGCCCCGAGCACAACGCTATGAAATGATATGGGTGAGCGTTTATTCCCCCTGAAGGCAAATCCAACAACCTCCTCTGTTAGCCCCAGCCTCCGTTCCTTTCTTTCTCCATTCAATTAAGACTTTAATTCAGATACTGCATCTTCCTCCTTAAACCTCACATCCCTGCGCCATCCTCTGCATTCCATTCCTCTCATCCTGCTCCTCCGCCCGGCCGGCGTTCCCGCTTTCTTTCTCGTGGCTTTATTTAGCTGCTAGCGCCATCAGGGGAAATTCGGTAGATGGGGAGAGTCAATGAAGTGTAGCATATAGCCAGACATCAGCCTCGGGGAGAGTTTTCAACTCCAATCATAAACAATATTGCATAAGCTACACAATACTCTGCGGGGAAATACTGGTACATGGGGGGATACGGGGAAACGGGAGAGGAATGATGGCTCTTAGTGGCTGCGAAGGCGAGAGAAGTATATGGTGTGGTAAATTAATGGAGTAGAGATATTGACATTGAAGGCACCGTGAAGTCCTTACAGTACATGTACCTCCATTATAGCACAGTGATGGCCACCACGGACTGAGTTATAGCTCAATAAAGGAGAGACCTTGTCCTGGTAATTAGTATAGATGATTAAAACCTGCACCTTAGAACATATTTCAAGTAAGATGCAGCCCAGCCAATCGAGACGATCTCCAAATCTGAGTAAATACAGTTTTCTTTTTTCCTGCCTACCTGACCTCCAGGTGCAACACCAGAAGGCAGCGGTCGGCAATGTCCTGGAACCCCTTGGACAGGTCAGTGAGGGTCTGGAGAATCTGCTCCCTGCTGCGTTCACTCTCAGCAAGAGCCTGACTATCTGTTGAGCATGAAGAGGCACCTAAAGGGACGGAACAGAAACAAAAAACAAGGTTGGATTAACAAGGGAAGTGCTGGAGAATATCAGCTGTCGTTTTTTTTTTTACCAATTTTCTACCTCTGGGGAAAACTGGTAAACATCCATCACTTTACCCTGGATTCATTTCAATACTGGGATGGAACTGTTGTTGCACAAATACACAGGTAAACACAGAAGACCGACACAGCATCAGGACCTGAAGCTGAATGTTCTGGTACTGACTGGATGTCACTTGTGCTGAGACAGCAGTGGTACAAGTAAAAGTGCTGCAATGAAAACTATGGAAGGGGGTGGGAGTGTGTGTGAGAGAGAGAGAGAGAGAGAGAGAGAGAGAGAGAGAGAGAGGGAGAGAGAGGGAAGGGAAAAGCAGAGAGCAGGATGAGTGTATATAAATGCAGTCAGGTGTAAATCAATGGCCATAAATTAGCAAGTAGGGGAAAAGGAGAGAAATTGGCCCCGTCACTCATCTGTAAGTCTATTTGGTCAATGAGGCAAGCATGTGTGTGTGTGTGTGTGTGTGTGTGTGTGTGTGTGTGTGAGAGAGGGTGTGTACAGTGAGAGTGGCTGCGGACGCAGGAGAATGCAGGGGTCCAGGATCGATGTGCTGCAGTCGAAGCCAGCTCCCCGGTTCCTCTTCCTGCCCTGCTGAAGGTCAAACCTACAGACTTTACCACAGACACACTACAGACAGGTGATATAAAAAGCCTCTCTGTGATATGGTTCTCGCTCGATATTTTTAGTTTTTATTTCTGCAAAAATGTAGCTAATAAAGCTCATAAAATGTAGTGAAAAAAAAAAAAAACTCAAACTCATTACCCAAAGGCCATTCTGCTGCTCAGATGATGCTTAATTAATTGTTAATTAAAGCACTAATTTTTTGTGAGCACTAATCTTATTTAAAATAGGAGCTACATTTGAGTCTGTAATGAGTCCAAGTCTCAGTATATGAAGTTTATTTCCACCAATCAGTGATCAGTTTAGCCACAGTTAATCTGATGCAGTCCAACCTTTTTGTCATTACCGCAAAAACATCGCTGTCGCTACTATTTGCTAAATTCAGTTTACATAGGTACTTGCAGTTCTCACTTACAAGGCAATAGAAGATAGAAGATTGATTCAATTCAATAGGGAACTGTAACAACATCGCTGTCTCTACTATTTGCTAAATTCAGTTTAAATAGGTACTTGCAGTTCTCACTTACTAGGCAATAGAAGACAGAAGATTGATTCAATTCAATAGGGAACAAATCTTTCTGTGTAAAATCTACCGTACAAAAACACCCCAAAAAAAAGATCAAATCGGGGGGTCGGCTAATATGCGAGTTTGTACAGAAAGTGAGCAGAGCTTTGGAACCAATAGAGCGTTTCAATTGAAAACCGGCCGTCAGTTGTGCCACAATCAGACATATTGCCGTTCAAAATCCAGTGGTTGGTTTCTTTAAGAAACCCATTAGTAGAAGCAAATAGAAGCCAGTCACGAATGAAAGACGACCCATTAACAAGGCAAATACAGGCCGGCTGAGGTGGGACAGTCCAGACCCTGATCTGATACCTGGACATTGTTGGAGAAGCATTTGCATACTTCATTTCTCTGTTTAAACATGGAACAGCAGATAATGCTGAGCAAGAAAATGATGACGAGGGCTGTTTCCATAATCACAAACACCAGTTTGGAATCGGTTCTGAGATAAATCCGGTTCTAGAGGCCAGCAAAAATAATATCAGCCTGAAAAACAACACATCAGTCAGCTCCATCTCCAAGTCTGGTTTTTGTGTTTGGTCGTAATCTTCCACATTTGACCTCAGTGATACTGTAATGCAACTATATACTTCTATTGGCCACTAGGGGCTGCTTCAACTGCTGGCATTAAAAAAACCCAGCACCAGAGATTGAATTGTAAACTTGGCAATAATCTACTAATCCAGCTGAATGAAGCAAGAAACAACAAACAAAACTGGCTTTAACCTAAAGAAAGAAGTCGTTTATTCCTGCCTGGTCGTCTTTGGATCATTGATAGAAACGGAGAAACTCACACCGTACCACAGTTCAAATCCTCAGTCATCTAAGAAATCTCTGATGTCGTTCTGCCATCACGGAGGGGATCGGTGCATGAAGCTGTGCACCGACTGCACAAATAAGTCAGTGGAAATGCAAAATTCTAAGTAGCGTGTTTGTGAAGTTTTACTTGAGGCACCTGAAAAAAAGGAAAATCTTTATCTTTATTTTTCAGATGAATACTATTTTGTTTCTTTGTGAGTCGCTTCTCTTCACTCGGCTCATGTGAAAGAGAAGAGGAATTTCAATTGCTCTGCCTGGGGAAGTGCTCCCCCTTAGGTGTGTGTGCAGATGTGCACACAGGTGTGTGTGTGTGTGAGAAAGTGACTCCAAGGCTTCTGTTTCCACCCATGTGCATTACACTCACTCACTTTGGCAACAAAAAAAAAAGAAGGAAAGAAAAGGGTCTCGCTGTGGAACACGCGGTTGGAGGTCCCTCCGGGGGGCGTCAGTGACAGCCAAACACACAATAAAAAAATGCACACATAACACAACAGAGAGATTCCTCTGCCGCCCCCTTGATTGTGCTGCTTTGATGGTGTGAGGGAGGCGTCCCAGCATGGGGTCACCATTAGTGTCGCGGACAGACGGGTGAAAGGAGACGACTCATTGGTCCTGACTGACAACTCTCTTTTCTGCCTTCATTCGCCTTTCTTTCCTCAAACCAAATCACCTTCATCTTTCATCATTTGCTGACATGCGGCTGCACGCACGCGCACGTTCACGCTCACTGTCTTCACCAAGCGCATACACAAATCCCAGAACCTTCCAGAGACTGAAAAATACCTTCGTTTTAAAATTTAGGAAAAACAATAGTTTTTTTTCCATTCGAAAATGTCCAAATAATTGAGCAAAAATGAGGAAGATAAGCAAAGGACGGTATCCTGCAAGGGTGGACTGATGAATGAGTCATAAATGACTGAGGAGTAAGTAATTATTTTCCTGCCTCTGGTAGAAAACGAACAGTTGCTCACAGGGATCTGAACTTCTGTTCAGAGGAAAGGATAGCATGAGAGACATTAGGAATGTCTCCCAATCAGAGAGACAGAGGACACAGCTGATAGTTTAGACAGACACAAAGGAGATGGACGTACTGGAGAGACAAGGGGAAAAAAAACAACACCATCATCCCACACTGCAGCTCCACCCGCAGGCCTCTGCAGTGAATATGAATGTGATCCTTAAGTCAACCTGTCTTGTTAAATGTAGTCAAGAAAGAGAGGGAAAAAAATGCAGCTAAAGGCTAATGACCTGTACCCACTAAAGTCAAGGTTATAAAAAAAGTGTATTTGAGAGCCTTCAGACATGCAGCAGAGCAACCAGTGAAGACAGAACCAACACAGTCTTATGAGTAAACAATGGTTAGACCTTCTAACCCTGCAGCATGGACTGGAATCCTGTTTCTCCGCCCCTAATGATGGTCAGAGCTCAGACGAGAACATCAACGTAAAGAGCTGGCACGGCGTAAAAGTCTGCAGTAAGAAGAAGAAGAAGAAGAAGAAGAAGAAGAAGAAGAAGAAGAAGAAGAAGAAGAAGAAGAAGAAGAAGAAGAAGAAGAAGAAGAAGAAGAAGAAGAAGAAGAAGAAGAAAAAAAGAGATTGAAAAAGAGATTGATCTTCACGTTTGCAGGTTGTTGCTCGGGGAACAAAGACACAGTATGAAAAGGCAGCCACATATGACAGCAAATTGTATCATACGTGTTGCACAGTCATGGTGACACTGGCCCACAGGCGACTCTGTATGTCTGTGTTGGTGAATAAATATCATTTCCAGAGTGTCTGCCAGCAGACAGCTGACAACCAACAGATGCAGCCAAACAAGTGCATTTCAGCTTTCCTGGAGATCTCAGAATAGAGAGGTGGTCGGCCTCACATGGCTGTTTATATCAAGAGGGAAACTGACGGAAGACTTTTTCCCTGGAAATCACTTCCTAGCTGGAATTAAGGCTGCTCTTTATCTGACTCGGTTAAACTTGCTGAAAATGTGATGCCTTTACTGTCCTATGAAAAAGCATAGCAACACTACGCTAACAGACACAGTGTATATGAAGCATGAAATGTGAAACATGTTACACCTACAGCCGTTAGCTCCTCTGTATATGAAAAGTACAGTAAGTGGCTACATCACAGGGTTTTACAGATTTATCCCTATTTATTAATTTATTTTACAGATTTAAGTATATTTTTGCTACAAGACCACAAACTTTAATGCTCCCAGTACTTCAAAAACGCAGTACTAACGCTGTGCAGCAACAGCTGGCTCCAAAAAAACACAAATAACTTACCACAACTATTTTAAATTCCCTGATTTATCTCATCAATTACTTCAATTTGGAGTATTTATGACAAAGTTTACAATTCTGATCTATTGGAACTTATTTATTATTACTTTTATTTTTTTCCCTTGTTGCACTTTTGAATATAATTCTTTAAAAAAATTGTTTTTAAGATCATTGCCTCGTTCCAAATATTCAGATATATGTGTATATGCTACATATATACATATATATATAAATAAATAAATAATATATATATATAAACATGATCAAAACTGCACGAAAAACTCGATGAATTAACACAGGGAAATTTAGTCAAAGAATCAGTATGAAAGTAAGTAAGAGAGAGAAATGAGAGGAAGAAAGAGAAAAGAAGAGGCGGGGGAATATGAGTTGTTCACACCTGACTGCTTCTGTAATAAAAAATCCAATTTGAGAGGCAAAGACAAGAGGAGGGTGGTGGTGTTGGTGGACAAGATAAGGTCCTTTTCCCCTGCCACACCCCGGTCCCATCGTGCAGTCCATGCACCAGCCCCCCCCCCCCCGCCCCCCCCTCCCCTTCATCCTCCCCCTCCACAATCCTTCATCAGATCAGCAAACTAAATATGAAACAATAAGAGGGCTGTCCCAGCACGATAAGTCCCGTCCTCCGCATTAACGCCACCCAGCAGAAGTAACGATAATTATGTCACGTCGCTCCTCGTACTTTATTGAATTCTTATCTATAAAAACACCACGAAGGGCTGCGACAGAATGAGTGGGAAGAGTTGAGGAAGAGATTGTGATGAAGTGAAGCCCAAATAAGAATATCTAACACGGTGTCATTTAATTACTGAGAAAAAAAGTGGAGATACCAAACAGGCAGAACTGCAGACGCTCAACAACTCATCAGAGGTCTGGGGCTCCAGAGCTGCAGCTGGAGCTGATAAAGGTTCAAGCACTTTCTCTCTCTTCCTGTTGCTCCAGGAAAGGACAGGAATTTACTAGAGCTCAGTCATACCATCACAATTACTCAAGAAAAAAAAAAAGCTGTATTTAAAAAATGATTCGTACAAGAATTTGATAAATGTTCAATTTGATAAATATCAAATATCATTAGCATGAATGAGATTAAAAAAATATAATATATCAGAAATCATTTTAAATTAACCGCTACTGATAATTAAAAAGTTAATAGTAGTAAAAACATCTAAAAAAATGAAAATCAATCACACAAATAAATGTTTAAAATAAAAAAAAAATTTTAAAAACTGAAGTTGGAAAATTCTCTTCATGACATGGCAAAAATATTTAAAATGTCACATTAAATAAAGTAAAAACATTAAGGATAAACCAAAAAGCATTAACAAAAACATAGATATTTTAAATGGCTAAAATTATGAGCTAAAAACAGCTAAAAGTGAGCCCAAATAGCAACACAAAGCTAGCTCACCTTACGGACAGAAATAGCCTTTAGTTTGCACAATAACAAAATATTAAAAAAAGAATAAAATATATTAGTAAAAATTGACCCAACAATCATGAAAAGTTATGATGCCCAGAAACGGCTAACAGTTAGCCACAAAATGCTTTCACAATATGGTACATTTTACAAGATCCAATTATAAGTACTTGATGAATTTATATGAACATACTGCGACTCAATGGTACTACTTCCTTCTCTGCATTAACACACCTGACCGCACAGGATGAGTCATTAATGGGAGTGATAATCCCTCGATTGCTCTGATTGGACGCTCATAAAAAGCTATGGACTTGAAGTCATGAAGTCGGACTTTTTACAGCAGGATTAACCAAGCTCTTAGCCTGGTAATGAGGATCAAAGCAAAACTTTAGCGACAAGCGATTAACGCAGTCTACTTAAAGACTATGTGTTAGCTAGAACACACACGAACGTTAGCCTGGATCTGACTGTTGATTAATGATGCAAATATGATGACTGAGCAGGGGACATATGAAAAACTCTTAGCAGTGCTGATGAGCATTTATGCACACGAGTGTGCAGAGGTAGATCCAGCCTTAATGAGTCGGGCTGTAACGCACACTTTGACAACTCCTGGAGAGAAATTAATGATCGTGTGATCGTACATTTAAATAAGGACTTAATGAGGCCCAGGTAAGAAAGTTCAGCTTTCAACCCGCTGCAGATGTAAGACCAGAGCGTAGGTTGTAAACCGCGGGGATCCTGCATAAACCATGAGGAAATGTTTTTAATCTGCTGACTATTCTGATCGATAACCGCTAAACGACCTCTGAGACTGGAAGCAGTGTCTTCTGGAAGACACATCCAGGAATTAATACTGCATGATACTGATAGATACTGGTGAGTAGTGCAGGTGGAACCTGCTGGAAAAAAGCTTTCTCCCTCAGGTGCTTCCTGAAAATTTTGAAAACTTAGAAAAACCAACGTGTTCTCGAGTTTTGGTTTTCTGCTTTTAAAAATTTGAAATTATTACTTGTGAAATAAACACAAAAATATCTTATTTTTGAAAAAGGGAATAAATGGAAAGGACAAATGATTTGGATTAAAGAGCGTCTAAGGGAGCTGTGTTACACTTCCAATATGCAAAATGTTGAGGTCCCACAAGGCACTGTGCTTGGACCCATTATATTTGATTTATAATGGCTTCCCCAGTAGAAAAAAATGTATTGATTAGCCAGACTGTTTACAAAAAAGTCATGCAAATATCAACACCTATGGTAAGACATTTTTGCCAGAACTGGAACCAAAACAAATCAGAACTTATACCTGATGAAGATGTTGGCATTATCAAAAAATCTCTTCTTAGTTTTTAAGTGGAAAATGGTTCATGGTGGTAAAAAGCAATTGAGTGAATACAATTTCATTGCACAGGTACTTACCCGAGGCATAAGGCAGATTGGCAAAGAATGTCTTTAGGCGCCCAGCAAGCCACTCCATGCTCTCATGAAGGTTAGCGAGTGATTTCAGGTCACTAACGTCACGCAGGATCTCATTCTGGGGGATTAACTTGTCTCCCAGGTTTCCAGTCAGCACCTCTGACTCCTTAGCGAAAGCCGCTCTGAATAAGAAAGAGGTCAAGACATGGATTTAAAAATGGGTGCAGCTGGAAGCGTGGACACAGAGTAACACTGATAAGGAAAGGACAAATAAAAACGTTTATTAACGTGGACCATAACGTCTTTAAGTTATTCAGACCCAGACTGTTTCTCCATAAATTATTGATAACCGTTCAGTTTTGATGGATCATTTTTATTTGAAATGGCAAAGCTTTTCTGGCCTTGGAGGCAGCAAAGGTTACATTAGCTGTAAATCATCGCGTGGCGACACGAGGCCAATTAGATCGGTGAATTCTCACGTGCACTTTTTAAACACATCACCATGGAGAACGAAGAGGAGGAGAACGAGAGTTAGAAAATAATCTTCACTGACGTGATCTAAACCCACACTTTAGTTCATTCCTAATAGCTTATCTAGGGAAGAGTGTGTTTTTTAGAAAACGTATTTATAATCCAATCAGTTTAAATTTATATTTTAAAGAAATCTAAAAGAATTAAATCAAACACCGTCTACTATATTTTTTAAAGAACTTTGTTTCAGCCCTTTATTTTTTTTTAGATTTAACATAAATCCAAATTTGAATTAATAAGAAATTCCAAATAAATATTTGTGTTGCTCGTTTCTTGATTAAATAAAAGTCAATTTAAAACATTTTTTTGGGACAAATGTGATTTTTTTGTTCTTTGTTTACATTTTTAGTGACATGAAAAAACCCTTCAAAACAAAATTTCAGCAAAAACTGGTAAATGGGTGTTCAATCAGGCTCTAAAAAAATAAAAAATAAAAAAAACCAACATCCTTCAAACAAAATTTCAGCAAAAACTTGTAAATGGGTGTTCAACCAGGCTCTAAAAAATACAAAATAAAAAACCCAACAGAAACAGACTAAGACTAAAACTAGTGGTACCACGGTGAGAGTTTCATGGGCACTCTCTAAAAGTTTGGCGTTCCTGGTGGTTCAACAGACGTAGGAGAAGGAGAAAAACAGCAGGTGACGGAGAATATTTAGCCACAGACACCCCGACAGAAGGCGGGGAGAGATTTCCAGGGTGACAAAAAAATAAATAAAAAAATAAAAAAATACAAAGACAGTACAGGCAGAACCTCTTCGACAATCACTTGTTGTTTTCTTGGAAGGGTAAAGAGAGAGTTGGGGAGGAAGACGAGGAGCTCGTTAGACGATGAAGGACTGAGATTTCATCACAGCGCGATGTTGAGAACGCACGATGTTTCCAAAAGTCCCCACGATACCCGCAAGATCAAGACCCTTTGGAAGAACAGATGGTTTGAAGAAAAAAAAAGAAACTCCAGACAACACACAACACCACACACAAACAGATGTGTGTGTGTGTCTTTTTCGAAGGTTTATTAAAGCACCAGGTCGCCAGTGTCACAGAAGATAATCCTCCTTTCACTGTAATGAAACCATCGGCGCTTTTCAAATCAAACGGCCTTATGGTCTTTCTCTCGGTATCTCCGTGCCCCCACGGTGTGTGACTGTCTGTGTGTGTGAGAGATTTTCTTTGGCCACACAACCAATTTATTTATTTACTTAACCATTCTGCTCCGATGAGTCTCAGTATTCCCTGAAGAGAGCCAATATTCAAAGGTAATTTGGATAACACCCCCCTCCTCCTCCCCCTGCCTCCCCCCCCTCCTTCCTGCCCCTAACAGCTTTTCCTTCATATTTTCTTGTTTTTC